GAGCCTCATCCTGTGTCAGATCAGCCACATCTCCCATCAGATACTTCTTCATACCCGCGATCCACATTTCTTCATCCTGTGCTCGACGAATCCGATCGATCCGCAACCCTCGCACGAACTCCTCCTGCATGACGGTCGGGTTCGGCCGTGATCTGGTGCCCGATCGGGTCGTCATCGGCGATAGTCGGGCGATTGACTCATCCGACCGGGCGACCAGGATCTCATCAAGTCGGTTCAGTGTCACTAGATCCCCATGATCGGCATCCTCCTCGACGACGACGCCCCCTTCACGTTGGAGTGCTGCACTGGCCAGGCTGTCCGCACTTCCGTTCCAGTCTCGTTTCACATGTAACAGCTCGTGATCTGGCCAGTTCCGTAGTCGATCCAGCACCTTTTGCTTCAACAATGTCAGCTTAGGTGCTTTGCTTCGATCTCGCCCCGTACTTGTCGGATCACCAGGTTGGAATCACCGCAGACCACTATCCTGCCTTGATCTATGCCGTCAGGGAGGTCGAAACCCAACAACAGACCATGATACTCTGCCTCGTTTACAGTCAGCCCTTCAGCATAGCCCGATCGAGCCTTCACCACACTCCATTCGGGTAACTTCCACAAGATTGCACTGTACGCGCCCCCGCCTCGCTTGACGCGGGCGGATCCATCGAAACTTATTACCAGCAGCTCTTCATCCACGCGCACAGTCGGGATCGGGGCTTGAATCTTCCGCCGGGGTTCTTTCTTCGGCGCGATCGCGATCAACGCGTCGTCCATATCCGATCGAGGCGTAATACTATCGGCGTTCGCCCCCAATATCTCGTCCTCTCCCTTGGCGTACTTCGTGATCTCCAGTGTCCAGGGCGATAGGAGTGCAGCCCACTGGCCCAATCGGCCTTAAAGACCGGATGATCGGAACAGCCACGCCAACGTCGAGTGTCGGGTCAAGACCCGGATGGATCGTCCAACCAGCATGTTATAGTTCAGGTCCAGGATCCGTAACAGCGCCAGCACTTCTTTCTCCACCACATTGTAATTCAGTCATTCGACTTCAGCGTTCGACTGGCGAAAGTAACGGGATGATAGATCTGGTCGTGCTCCTGCATCAATGCGGCCGAGATCGCCCAGTCACTGGCATACACAATCACGACCGGAGTCCGATCGCGATCGAAGTGCCGCAGGATCGGTGTCGTCGCGATCTTCATCTTCAGGGTCGAAAAGGCACGATGAGCACGGATCCAGCGTTCATCGGCTACACCGACTTCAGGAACTGATGGAGTCCGATCGGGGTTCACTGGGTCCGTATCCACTAAGTTCGGTACTTGACGATCCAGGATCTGGCGCAGATCGGGGCGTTTCTTCAGCTCGGCGAAGTCCACCTCGCGCAGTTCGTACAGGATCACCGCGTAGATCGCGTAATCTTCCAAGAAACGGCTGTAATAATTGAGACTGCCCAAGAATGACTGCATCGATCGGAGCGATCCGGGGAACGGCAGATCAGTCAGAGCCGTGAGATCCTTCGGATTGGCCTCTAGCCCGTCGTTCGACACACGATGTCCCAGATAGTCCACCTTACGCATCCCCCAAGAGCTCTTCTCCACACTGATCGAGAGGTTCCACTTATCACAAGCGTCCAGCAGGTGATCCACGCGATCACACAGCTCGTCCCATGACCCGGCCGTCACCAGAATGTCGTCAATGTACGATCTGCGACCTAGCACTGATGGACGCCCCGGATCTTCTGGTTCTCCTGACTCGATCAAGTCCGTAGTGACTTCACAGTCCGACGATCGCGGGATCCTGGTGAACCCATACAACGCGTCGTCCAGAAGTCGCTGGTAGATCTGAGGAGCGTTCTTCAAGCCGAACGGCATCCGTTCCACTCGAACAGACCCAGGTGGGTGATAAAGGCCGAGATCGCACGAGCTCGATCGGTCATTGTCACCACCCAGAATCCACTAGCCATGTCCAAAGAGCAATACCAGAGTACCTTATCCAGATCCTCCAGCAAATCGTTGATCAAGGGCATCGGATATACCATCAGCCTGGTTAGACTGTTGACGAGCCGATAATCGATGCAGAGTCGGATATCCACGCCGTTCTTCTTGATGATCACGACGATCGGCGAGGCCCACGGTGATCGAGATTTCCGAATCATCTTGGCTGACAATAATCCCTTGATCAGCTCGGACACCTTCTCCACGAACTGAGGGGCAACTTTCCGGACACGTGGAGCGATCGGCTTCGCGTCGCCCACGTCGATGTCGCAGGTGACGCCCCGGGCTGCTGGGGGAAGTGCATTGCCCTTGCCGATCAGCAGGTGATTCCTGTGCCAGATCTTCTTTCGCAGCCGATCGATCTCCTCCGGGGTGTTGAACTCCAGATCTCCCACCTTGATATCATCGATCTTCACCTCATCCGTCGTCAGATCACAATTTCAGGAAGCACAGCTAATTCACCTTGGACATCTTCTGCTGACAGATTCCCGCCCTCGTGGTAATGGACCTGATCATCAGCACCAACGTCTCGATCTGGTTCTGACGCAACGAGATCGTCCCGATTTGAAGTGGGTGTGGCCTCAATTTTTACCTGATCACCTCCAACGATCGATGAGTTTTCGGCCACTTGCGCCAGTTGTTCAGATGCGGGAACACCATCGACTACTGTATCGTCACTTGATCCCGACTCTTCCACAGCTAAGACAGCCACAGGGTGTGTCCGATCGGTACTCCCGCCCCCAAGATCTGGTTCGACGGCACAACCGTCGACCTGATCGGCCGATGGCAAGTGAGGGGACACGATTTCGCCCTTCTCAGCTGCTTTACCACCGGAATCCACATGGTCTGGCTTCCTCTCTGGATCGCCAGCACGATCATCTTGCGGCTTCGCGTCATCTATCGGTGCATACGCTTGATCCGTGATCGGCGAAGGCTGGGAGTCCAGCCCCACCTGTTTTTGCTTTGGAGAGCATTCCTCCTCCGATCCGGAAGGTTCACACACCGACTCAACCGGATCCGACCGTGGGTCTGGTGGATCTCCGACGAGAACAGTTGAAGCTGACGACCTCGACTCGTCTGTCACGCGATCATCGTCCTGCAACGGTCTGCCTCCTGATCTAAGCGTATCGACGACGGCCGCCCCCGGATCAGGGCTCATTGCCTCCGGTTCGCTTGTTGGATCGGGTGGACCCGTCGACTGATTGATGATCGGGGATACCTTGCGTCTCTGGAGAATGGCTCGGGGCGTTGGATAAATCGGTCGCTCGACGGCAGGTACTGGAGGTCCCGTTGGTGCCTCCTGGTTCGTCGGCCGGTCATCTGTCATGGCTTGAAAGGCTAGATTCTGCCATTCCATGTATCGACGAGATCCGATCGACACATATCCTGGGATCCGGGGTATCCGATCTCCAGCCAGCCACATCGCGATCCGTTCATTCCGATGCAAGACGAGGTCTTTGTCACTGATGTTGGTAACCTGGAGATTTCGGATCCTGCCGAGTCCTCGGACCACGGTCGGCACCCAGCGATCTCCACGGGTGACCCACAGCTTTTCTCGATCCGTCACCTTCATTCGTAGCGAAAGCTCGATCGAATCCCCGATCGCGATCTGCATTCCCTGATCCACACACACGTGTCGGACATTGTCATTGTACAGCTGACGCCGTCCGCTAAGCTGGATCTTGACTTCGTCGGGGAGACAGATAGAGCCGTCCGCAAGATCGAGGCGGATCCCCGCCGGAACCATGAAGTCCATATCCAGGATCGCCTCTTGTCCTGATAGATCGCCAACCCAGATATCGAAGAAAAACACCAGCGATCCCGCCAGCGTAACCTTGATCCTGGTCCTTCCTTCCGTCATGTACACGCTTTCGCCAATCCCCACACATTCCTGGCTCTGACTCATGTCGACATACCACCCCACCTTACGAGCAAAGGCGGTGTCCACGATGGACACCTCGGCGCCGGTGTCTAAGAGTAAGATCGACTTCTCATTATTGATCTTGCCAGTGATCTTGGCCTGACGGAACCACTTACCTGGCGAATGATGTTTCCAGTACCCTCTAGACTCCCCAGGGAGGAGATCGAGCACCACATCGCCAGGACTACGGTGTTCGCTGACGCGAGGCAGACTTCGATCGAGATCATGCTCCGGGATCTCGGTTGTCACTTCTCCATCAGCTGGCTTGAACCATTCCTCCGGTCTGCGTTGCTTCCAATAGCCCCGCGTTTCTCCAGACTGGAGATCCAAGGGCACTTCGGCGTCAGAACAGCTGAAGTCGTCCGATCGACGTAGACTTAAGACCTTGGCGGCAAATTTCGCATGCAGATCACATGTATTACCGCGTAGATCAGTCCGTCCACTTACTCGATCTACCGTGTTCTTGTTCACGAATGCATAGATGCAGTACCTAGAACGCTCGGCTCGTACCGGATTCCAACCCGGCGAGCGTCCTAGTTTAACATCTTCTCGGCGATCGCGGGCAACATGCCAGCGTGCTTCACCGGGTTGAACCATTGACGGGTCTGGTTGTAGAATTCCTCCATCGGACACTTGCCCATCTCGTGTAGTTCACCACGTCGTCTGGTAGAGCCGGCATTAGCCGTGCCCCTCGAGAATCGGCTGCTGGGGTCACCGAGGGTTCTGGCGGCCCGCCAGACCGTTCACCTAGCGGTGAGTCGCCTCATGAGTCCGAGACTTCCGAGAACCGCGCAGCGTTGTTCCTGGAGATGTTCGGCCCCGACGAAAGAGAGGAAACCTCGGTGGCGCAACCTGTCGCTCCTTCGGAGGCTCCTTCTCCTCTGGCTGCCGCGACCGGGGTTCCTGTAGCTTCACAAGCGGCCACCGTGCCACTCCCGAGTCGACTCCACACTCGGTCGGCCTCTGCTCACGCTCAGGCGATGGTAACAGCAACGGTGACAGCTTCACCGAGGGATGGACCTGCGTCGATTGCCCCAGCCGTGGTTGACGCTTCCGACGTAGCTCCTGGATCGCGTAAGCTCAGTGGTCTTGCTACCCTGTTCTTGGAGCCGGGTTTCACGGCACCCGGAGCGTCGGAATGCTGGCATCTCATCCAAAACGCCAGTGTTCCCCTCGTCTTCGAGGACGACTTGGTCGCCCCCAGTTCAGTGGATGGAATCGTGGAGTTTGGCTTGTGGACGGATCCTGCTCACCCCTTCCAAGTGTTGCGCCAGCTTTTCCCAGACGAGCCTTGTTTGATCGATACGACGGGTTTTCGATTCTCGGTGGCTATATCCCGTCGTGCAACTGGTCGGGCTCTTCTCGTTCGCCTATGGCGGCAGTTCCAGGGGTACTCCTACCACTCCACCGAGAGGGGCGACCTTGGTTTCGCCTTGTGGGAGCGTCGCCACTGGATTAGGGGTAAAGCTGTCAAGGTGTATATCGACAACCTCGCCAGCACCCTCGGTCAGCGCAACGTGCAAGTCCTAGCGCTTCGACAAGCGTGGTCCAAGTACCACCGAGAGCGCAGTTATCGTGCAGATCGCTTGCGACGTCTTGTGCGTGTAACAGGGTTATATGCACAAGTGGCTACAGAGCTTGTTACTCTAACAGATGCGATGTCTGTTCGAGGTTTGCACACTTCCTCGACCTTGGTGTAAGGTACACCAATGGCTACATACATTTACGACCACCACGACGGGTGGTCCATAGAGACTTAGGATTCCTATTGGCTGAGAGCAGCACTTTTAGCCAATGAGCGACATGCATAGCATTGGAATTCTGCCAACCAGCCGTTGGCAGATTCCTATTTTAGAATATTACATTTAGATGAAGTCAGAAACATAAAACAAAAATAGAAGTTCTCATTTTAACCCAAAAACATTATTTGGATCGTTTATTTAGATTAATCTATACTCGGAGGCCCGAGTATAATTAACTCTAATTTAAACTAAGCTACGCTTCCTCACATACACGCGTACACGTGTAAGCTAAAGTAGTGGGCCAAAGTAGGCCCATAACAGTTATTGAGAGCGAATTCGACCAGGGACAGGAAGGTGCTCCACGACTTGAACAACGTAGCGAAGCTACGTAGTACATCTTCAACGACACGGTTGGCTCGCTCAGTTTGGCCGTCCGTCTCCGGGTGCGACGCGGTGGACATGCTTAGCCGCGTCCCTAACAAATGGAAAAGCTCGCGCCAGAAGGCGGACGTGAAGCACGGGTCGCGATCCGATACGATGGAAGACGGGAGCCCGTGGTGGCGATTCACCATGTCGACGAAGATGGCGGCAGTCTGTTTCGCCGTGATGTTAGCGGAGACAGGAGCAAGATGGAGCATTTTGCTGAAACGGTCGACGAAGGCAAGCACATCAGTGCACCCTTGAGTGTCTCGGGGCAGCCCGAAGACGAAGTCCATGCTGACAGACGTCCATACGTCCGTGGCGACTGGAAGAGGTCGAAGCGGAGCCTGCTTGGACGGATTCGGCTTCACGTGTGGTGTAGCGGGATCGGCCAAAATCCGGTTAAGGCCTGATCGAGCTTCCCACCAGCGCCCAGACACCGACAAACGGAGGGGGTCCCCCAAGACCCAACGATCCGCGATCGGCTGAACTTGTTCTCACCTTGTGTACCCATCGGCGGGCTGGATCTACTCTCTCGGGGCTCCGGAGATGCAGCACTTGGTGAAGATCAAGTGTCTTGGCGTGACGCGGGGATAGTTTGTGGAGCAGCGCGGGAATCTTCGCTCTGCGTCCGAATGTTCGCTCCGATCGAGGGTTCTTCGCTGCGATCGGTCGGCCTGGAGCTGAGCCAAGGCCTGTAGTTGCCTTTCCGGTTGTGTTCCTTCCTTTCCTGAGTTGCTTGCCGCTTCCTATAGCGGCATCGAGGTTGATCGAGAGGAGAAACGATCGCCGGTTAGGCCGTATCCGGTCGATTGAGGACTCTCGACGCCCATGAACCTTGGCGCAACTGTTGGATCGACGTTCCCTCTCTGCATCCGTACAACACTCTGTTCGCACCCTGCAACCATGGAGCCCAACCAGGTTTACCTTGGTCACAGGTCGTCCACCGTGTAACAGGGTTATATGCACAAGTGGCTACAGAGCTTGTTACTCTAACAGATGCGATGTCTGTTCGAGGTTTGAACACTTCCTCGACCTTGGTGTAAGGTACACCAATGGCTACATACATTTACGACCACCACGACGGGTGGTCCATAGAGACTTAGGATTCCTATTGGCTGAGAGCAGCACTTTTAGCCAATGAGCGACATGCATAGCATTGGAATTCTGCCAACCAGCCGTTGGCAGATTCCAATCTTAGAATATTACATTTAGATGAAGTCAGAAACATAAAACAAAAATAGCAGTTCTCATTTTAACCCAAAAACATTATTTGGATCGTTTATTTAGATTAATCTATACTCGGAGGCCCGAGTATAATTAACTCTAATTTAAACTAAGCTACGCTTCCTCACATACACGCGCACACGTGTAAGCTAAAGTAGTGAGCCAAAGTAGGCCCATAACAGTTATTGAGAGCGAATTTTGACCAGGGGCAGGAAGGTGCTCCACGACTTGAACAACGTAGCGAAGCTACGTAGTACATCTTCAACGACACGGTTGGCTCGCTCAGTTTGGCCGTCCGTCTCCGGGTGCGACGCGGTGGACATGCTTAGCCGCGTCCCCAACAAATGGAAAAGCTCGCGCCAGAAGGCGGACGTGAAGCACGGGTCGCGATCCGATACGATGGATGACGGGAGCCCGTGGTGGCGATTCACCATGTCGACGAAGATGGCGGCAGTCTGTTTCGCCGTGATGTTAGCGGAGACAGGAGCAAGATGGAGCATTTTGCTGAAACGGTCGACGAAGGCAAGCACATCAGTGCACCCTTGAGTGTCTCGGGGCAGCCCGAAGACGAAGTCCATGCTGACAGACGTCCATACGTCCGTGGCGACTGGAAGAGGTCGAAGCGGAGCCTGCTTGGACGGATTCGGCTTCACGTGTGGTGTAACGAGATCGGCCAAAATCTGGTTAAGGCCTGATCAAGCTTCCCACCAGCGCCCAGACACCGACTAACGGAGGGGGTCCCCCAAGACCCAACGATCCGCGATCGGCTGAACTTGTTCTCACCTTGTGTACCCATCGGCGGGCTGGATCTGCTCTCTCGGGGCTCCGGAGATGCAGCACTTGGTGAAGATCAAGTGTCTTGGCGTGACGCGGGGATAGTTTGTGGAGCAGCGCGGGAATCTTCGCTCTGCGTCCGAATGTTCGCTCCGATCGAGGGTTCTTCGCTGCGATCGGTCGGCCTGGAGCTGAGCCAAGGCCTGTAGTTGCCTTTCCGGTTGTGTTCCTTCCTTTCCTGAGTTGCTTGCCGCTTCCTATAGCGGCATCGAGGTTGATCGAGAGGAGAAACGATCGCCGGTTAGGCCGTATCCGGTCGATTGAGGACTCTCGACGCCCATGAACCTTGGCGCAACTGTTGGATCGACGTTCCCTCTCTGCATCCGTACAACACTCTGTTCGCACCCTGCAACCATGGAGCCCAACCAGGTTTACCTTGGTCACAGGTCGTCCACCGTGTAACAGGGTTACACGCACAAGTGGCTACAGTCACTTGTTACTCTAACAGATGCGATGTCTGTTCGAGGTTTGAACACTTCCTCGACCTTGGTGTAAGGTACACCAATGGCTACATACATTTACGACCACCACGACGGGTGGTCCATAGAGACTTAGGATTCCTATTGGCTGAGAGCAGCACTTTTAGCCAATGAGCGACATGCATAGCATTGGAATTCTGCCAACCAGCCGTTGGCAGATTCCAATCTTAGAATATTACATTTAGATGAAGTCAGAAACATAAAACAAAAATAGCAGTTCTCATTTTAACCCAAAAACATTATTTGGATCGTTTATTTAGATTAATCTATACTCGGAGGCCCGAGTATAATTAACTCTAATTTAAACTAAGCTACGCTTCCTCACATACACGCGTACACGTGTAAGCTAAAGTAGTGGGCCAAAGTAGGCCCATAACAGTTATTGAGAGCGAATTCGACCAGGGGCAGGAAGGTGCTCCACGACTTGAACAACGTAGCGAAGCTACGTAGTACATCTTCAACGACACGGTTGGCTCGCTCAGTTTGGCCGTCCGTCTCCGGGTGCGACGCGGTGGACATGCTTAGCCGCGTCCCCAACAAATGGAAAAGCTCGCGCCAGAAGGCGGACGTGAAGCACGGGTCGCGATCCGATACGATGGATGACGGGAGCCCGTGGTGGCGATTCACCATGTCGACGAAGATCGCGGCAGTCTGTTTCGCCGTGATGTTAGCAGAGACAGGAGCAAGATGGAGCATTTTGCTGAAACGGTCGACGAAGGCAAGCACATCAGTGCACCCTTGAGTGTCTCGGGGCAGCCCGAAGACGAAGTCCATGCTGACAGACGTCCATACGTCCGTGGCGACTGGAAGAGGTCGAAGCAGAGCCTGCTTGGACGGATTCGGCTTCACGTGTGGTGTAGCGGGATCGGCCAAAATCTGGTTAAGGCCTGATCAAGCTTCCCACCAGCGCCCAGACACCGACAAACGGAGGGGGTCCCCCAAGACCCAACGATTCGCGATCGGCTGAACTTGTTCTCACCTTGTGTACCCGTCGGCGGCTGGATCTACTCTCTCGGGGCTCCGGAGATGCAGCACTTGGTGAAGATCAAGTGTCTTGGCGTGACGCGGGGATAGTTTGTGGAGCAGCGCGGGAATCTTCGCTCTGCGTCCGAATGTTCGCTCCGATCGAGGGTTCTTCGCTGCGATCGGTCGGCCTGGAGCTGAGCCAAGGCCTGTAGTTGCCTTTCCGGTTGTGTTCCTTCCTTTCCTGAGTTGCTTGCCGCTTCCTATAGCGGCATCGAGGTTGATCGAGAGGAGAAACGATCGCCGGTTAGGCCGTATCCGGTCGATTGAGGACTCTCGACGCCCATGAACCTTGGCGCAACTGTTGGATCGACGTTCCCTCTCTGCATCCGTACAACACTCTGTTCGCACCCTGCAACCATGGAGCCCAACCAGGTTTACCTTGGTCACAGGTCGTCCACCGTGTAACAGGGTTACACGCACAAGTGGCTACAGTCACTTGTTACTCTAACAGATGCGATGTCTGTTCGAGGTTTGAACACTTCCTCGACCTTGGTGTAAGGTACACCAATGGCTACATACATTTACGACCAGCACGACGGGTGGTCCATAGAGACTTAGGATTCCTATTGGCTGAGAGCAGCACTTTTAGCCAATGAGCGACATGCATAGCATTGGAATTCTGCCAACCAGCCGTTGGCAGATTCCAATCTTAGAATATTACATTTAGATGAAGTCAGAAACATAAAACAAAAATAGCAGTTCTCATTTTAACCCAAAAACATTATTTGGATCGTTTATTTAGATTAATCTATACTCGGAGGCCCGAGTATAATTAACTCTAATTTAAACTAAGCTACGCTTCCTCACATACACGCGCACACGTGTAAGCTAAAGTAGTGAGCCAAAGTAGGCCCATAACAGTTATTGAGAGCGAATTCGACCAGGGGCAGGAAGGTGCTCCACGACTTGAACAACGTAGCGAAGCTACGTAGTACATCTTCAACGACACGGTTGGCTCGCTCAGTTTGGCCGTCCGTCTCCGGGTGCGACGCGGTGGACATGCTTAGCCGCGTCCCCAACAAATGGAAAAGCTCGCGCCAGAAGGCGGACGTGAAGCACGGGTCGCGATCCGATACGATGGAAGACGGGAGCCCGTGGTGGCGATTCACCATGTCGACGAAGATCGCGGCAGTCTGTTTCGCCGTGATGTTAGCGGAGACAGGAGCAAGATGGAGCATTTTGCTGAAACGGTCGACGAAGGCAAGCACATCAGTGCACCCTTGAGTGTCTCGGGGCAGCCCGAAGACGAAGTCCATGCTGACAGACGTTCATACATCCGTGGCGACTGGAAGAGGTCGAAGCGGAGCCTGCTTGGACGGATTCGGCTTCACGTGTGGTGTAACGAGATCGGCCAAAATCTGGTTAAGGCCTGATCAAGCTTCCCACCAGCGCCCAGACACCGACTAACGGAGGGGGTCCCCCAAGACCCAACGATCCGCGATCGGCTGAACTTGTTCTCACCTTGTGTACCCGTCGGCGGGCTGGATCTGCTCTCTCGGGGCTCCGGAGATGCAGCACTTGGTGAAGATCAAGTGTCTTGGCGTGACGCGGGGATAGTTTGTGGAGCAGCGCGGGAATCTTCGCTCTGCGTCCGAATGTTCGCTCCGATCGAGGGTTCTTCGCTGCGATCGGTCGGCCTGGAGCTGAGCCAAGGCCTGTAGTTGCCTTTCCGGTTGTGTTCCTTCCTTTCCTGAGTTGCTTGCCGCTTCCTATAGCGGCATCGAGGTTGATCGAGAGGAGAAACGATCGCCGGTTAGGCCGTATCCGGTCGATTGAGGACTCTCGACGCCCATGAACCTTGGCGCAACTGTTGGATCGACGTTCCCTCTCTGCATCCGTACAACACTCTGTTCGCACCCTGCAACCATGGAGCCCAACCAGGTTTACCTTGGTCACAGGTCGTCCACCGTGTAACAGGGTTACACGCACAAGTGGCTACAGAGCTTGTTACTCTAACAGATGCGATGTCTGTTCGAGGTTTGAACACTTCCTCGACCTTGGTGTAAAGTACACCAATGGCTACATACATTTACGACCACCACGACGGGTGGTCCATAGAGACTTAGGATTCCTATGGCTGAGAGCAGCACTTTTAGCCAATGAGCGACATGCATAGCATTGGAATTCTGCCAACCAGCCGTTGGCAGATTCCTATTTTAGAATATTACATTTAGAGGAAGTCAGAAACATAAAACAAAAATAGAAGTTCTCATTTTAACCCAAAAACATTATTTGGATCGTTTATTTAGATTAATCTACACTCGGAGGCCCGAGTATAATTAACTCTAATTTAAACTAAGCTACGCTTCCTCACATACACGCGTACACGTGTAAGCTAAAGTAGTGGGCCAAAGTAGGCCCATAACAGTTATTGAGAGCGAATTCGACCAGGGGCAGGAAGGTGCTCCACGACTTGAACAACGTAGCGAAGCTACGTAGTACATCTTCAACGACACGGTTGGCTCGCTCAGTTTGGCCGTCCGTCTCCGGGTACGACGCGGTGGACATGCTTAGCCGCGTCCCCAACAAATGGAAAAGCTCGCGCCAGAAGGCGGACGTGAAGCACGGGTCGCGATCCGATACGATGGATGACGGGAGCCCGTGGTGGCGATTCACCATGTCGACGAAGATCGCGGCAGTCTGTTTCGCCGTGATGTTAGCGGAGACAGGAGCAAGATGGAGCATTTTGCTGAAACGGTCGACGAAGGCAAGCACACCAGTGCACCCTTGAGTGTCTCGGGGCAGCCCGAAGACGAAGTCCATGCTGACAGACGTCCATACGTCCGTGGCGACTGGAAGAGGTCGAAGCGGAGCCTGCTTGGACGGATTCGGCTTCACGTGTGGTGTAGCGGGATCGGCCAAAATCCGGTTAAGGCCTGATCAAGCTTCCCACCAGCGCCCAGACACCGACTAACGGAGGGGGTCCCCCAAGACCCAACGATCCGCGATCGGCTGAACTTGTTCTCACCTTGTGTACCCGTCGGCGGGCTGGATCTGCTCTCTCGGGGCTCCGGAGATGCAGCACTTGGTGAAGATCAAGTGTCTTGGCGTGACGCGGGGATAGTTTGTGGAGCAGCGCGGGAATCTTCGCTCTGCGTCCGAATGTTCGCTCCGATCGAGGGTTCTTCGCTGCGATCGGTCGGCCTGGAGCTGAGCCAAGGCCTGTAGTTGCCTTTCCGGTTGTGTTCCTTCCTTTCCTGAGTTGCTTGCCGCTTCCTATAGCGGCATCGAGGTTGATCGAGAGGAGAAACGATCGCCGGTTAGGCCGTATCCGGTCGATTGAGGACTCTCGACGCCCATGAACCTTGGCGCAACTGTTGGATCGACGTTCCCTCTCTGCATCCGTACAACACTCTGTTCGCACCCTGCAACCATGGAGCCCAACCAGGTTTACCTTGGTCACAGGTCGTCCACCGTGTAACAGGGTTACACGCACAAGTGGCTACAGTCACTTGTTACTCTAACAGATGCGATGTCTGTTCGAGGTTTGAACACTTCCTCGACCTTGGTGTAAGGTACACCAATGGCTACATACATTTACGACCACCACGACGGGTGGTCCATAGAGACTTAGGATTCCTATTGGCTGAGAGCAGCACTTTTAGCCAATGAGCGACATGCATAGCATTGGAATTCTGCCAACCAGCCGTTGGCAGATTCCAATCTTAGAATATTACATTTAGATGAAGTCAGAAACATAAAACAAAAATAGCAGTTCTCATTTTAACCCAAAAACATTATTTGGATCGTTTATTTAGATTAATCTATACTCGGAGGCCCGAGTATAATTAACTCTAATTTAAACTAAGCTACGCTTCCTCACATACACGCGCACACGTGTAAGCTAAAGTAGTGAGCCAAAGTAGGCCCATAACAGTTATTGAGAGCGAATTTTGACCAGGGGCAGGAAGGTGCTCCACGACTTGAACAACGTAGCGAAGCTACGTAGTACATCTTCAACGACACGGTTGGCTCGCTCAGTTTGGCCGTCCGTCTCCGGGTGCGACGCGGTGGACATGCTTAGCCGCGTCCCCAACAAATGGAAAAGCTCGCGCCAGAAGGCGGACGTGAAGCACGGGTCGCGATCCGATACGATGGATGACGGGAGCCCGTGGTGGCGATTCACCATGTCGACGAAGATCGCGGCAGTCTGTTTCGCCGTGATGTTAGCGGAGACAGGAGCAAGATGGAGCATTTTGCTGAAACGGTCGACGAAGGCAAGCACATCAGTGCACCCTTGAGTGTCTCGGGGCAGCCCGAAGACGAAGTCCATGCTGACAGACGTCCATACGTCCGTGGCGACTGGAAGAGGTCGAAGCGGAGCCTGCTTGGACGGATTCGGCTTCACGTGTGGTGTAACGAGATCGGCCAAAATCTGGTTAAGGCCTGATCAAGCTTCCCACCAGCGCCCAGACACCGACTAACGGAGGGGGTCCCCCAAGACCCAACGATCCGCGATCGGCTGAACTTGTTCTCACCTTGTGTACCCGTCGGCGGGCTGGATCTGCTCTCTCGGGGCTCCGGAGATGCAGCACTTGGTGAAGATCAAGTGTCTTGGCGTGACGCGGGGATAGTTTGTGGAGCAGCGCGGGAATCTTCGCTCTGCGTCCGAATGTTCGCTCCGATCGAGGGTTCTTCGCTGCGATCGGTCGGCCTGGAGCTGAGCCAAGGCCTGTAGTTGCCTTTCCGGTTGTGTTCCTTCCTTTCCTGAGTTGCTTGCCGCTTCCTATAGCGGCATCGAGGTTGATCGAGAGGAGAAACGATCGCCGGTTAGGCCGTATCCGGTCGATTGAGGACTCTCGACGCCCATGAACCTTGGCGCAACTGTTGGATCGACGTTCCCTCTCTGCATCCGTACAACACTCTGTTCGCACCCTGCAACCATGGAGCCCAACCAGGTTTACCTTGGTCACAGGTCGTCCACCGTGTAACAGGGTTACACGCACAAGTGGCTACAGTCACTTGTTACTCTAACAGATGCGATGTCTGTTCGAGGTTTGAACACTTCCTCGACCTTGGTGTAAGGTACACCAATGGCTACATACATTTACGACCACCACGACGGGTGGTCCATAGAGACTTAGGATTCCTATTGGCTGAGAGCAGCACTTTTAGCCAATGAGCGACATGCATAGCATTGGAATTCTGCCAACCAGCCGTTGGCAGATTCCAATCTTAGAATATTACATTTAGATGAAGTCAGAAACATAAAACAAAAATAGCAGTTCTCATTTTAACCCAAAAACATTATTTGGATCGTTTATTTAGATTAATCTATACTCGGAGGCCCGAGTATAATTAACTCTAATTTAAACTAAGCTACGCTTCCTCACATACACGCGCACACGTGTAAGCTAAAGTAGTGAGCCAAAGTAGGCCCATAACAGTTATTGAGAGCGAATTCGATCAGGGGCAGGAAGGTGCTCCACGACTTGAACAACGTAGCGAAGCTACGTAGTACATCTTCAACGACACGGTTGGCTCGCTCAGTTTGGCCGTCCGTCTCCGGGTGCGACGCGGTGGACATGCTTAGCCGCGTCCCCAACAAATGGAAAAGCTCGCGCCAGAAGGCGGACGTGAAGCACGGGTCGCGATCCGATACGATGGATGACGGGAGCCCGTGGTGGCGATTCACCATGTCGACGAAGATCGCGGCAGTCTGTTTCGCCGTGATGTTAGCGGAGACAGGAGCAAGATGGAGCATTTTGCTGAAACGGTCGACGAAGGCAAGCACATCAGTGCACCCTTGAGTGTCTCGGGGCAGCCCGAAGACGAAGTCCATGCTGACAGACGTCCATACGTCCGTGGCGACTGGAAGAGGTCGAAGCGGAGCCTGCTTGGACGGATTCGGCTTCACGTGTGGTGTAACGAGATCGGCCAAAATCTGGTTAAGGCCTGATCAAGCTTCCCACCAGCGCCCAGACACCGACTAACGGAGGGGGTCCCCCAAGACCCAACGATCCGCGATCGGCTGAACTTGTTCTCACCTTGTGTACCCATCGGCGGGCTGGATCTACTCTCTCGGGGCTCCGGAGATGCAGCACTTGGTGAAGATCAAGTGTCTTGGCGTGACGCGGGGATAGTTTGTGGAGCAGCGCGGGAATCTTCGCTCTGCGTCCGAATGTTCGCTCCGATCGAGGGTTCTTCGCTGCGATCGGTCGGCCTGGAGCTGAGCCAAGGCCTGTAGTTGCCTTTCCGGTTGTGTTCCTTCCTTTCCTGAGTTGCTTGCCGCTTCCTATAGCGGCATCGAGGTTGATCGAGAGGAGAAACGATCGCCGGTTAGGCCGTATCCGGTCGATTGAGGACTCTCGACGCCCATGAACCTTGGCGCAACTGTTGGATCGACGTTCCCTCTCTGCATCCGTACAACACTCTGTTCGCACCCTGCAACCATGGAGCCCAACCAGGTTTACCTTGGTCACAGGTCGTCCACCGTGTAACAGGGTTACACGCACAAGTGGCTACAGTCACTTGTTACTCTAACAGATGCGATGTCTGTTCGAGGTTTGAACACTTCCTCGACCTTGGTGTAAGGTACACCAATGGCTACATACATTTACGACCACCACGACGGGTGGTCCATAGAGACTTAGGATTCCTATTGGCTGAGAGCAGCACTTTTAGCCAATGAGCGACATGCATAGCATTGGAATTCTGCCAACCAGCCGTTGGCAGATTCCAATCTTAGAATATTACATTCAGATGAAGTCAGAAACATAAAACAAAAATAGCAGTTCTCATTTTAACCCAAAAACATTATTTGGATCGTTTATTTAGATTAATCTATACTCGGAGGCCCGAGTATAATTAACTCTAATTTAAACTAAGCTACGCTTCCTCACATACACGCGCACACGTGTAAGCT